TGTGATTGATCTGTCTATCGAAAGGTCGGTCGTTTATAACTCCACTTACGGGTTTATCGCTGCACCTAGTAAGGTTCAGAGTAGAGAAGCAATTGAAATATCAGATAATGCTTGGCCAAATTGGGGACTATGAGATACAACAGGATACTTTACGGCAAAATGTGCTTGCTTTTAACATTGAAATAGATCAAAATTTTCAGTGCAATGCAAATTCTGCAAAATTAAAATGTCAAAGGCGTGAAGGACGTGTGATATACAAGCAACTCGTGGTCAAACAAAAATTCGCTCGTTGATGGTATACATTTGCTGTACCCTTTATGAGATATGTATTGTTCACGGTGATCTGATAGTGGCTTGGTTTTTAAATTACTACAAATTTGGTTTTTTAGCACAAGGGTTGTCGACACTCAATAGATTATAGTCACAGAATACATTCCTTCCAGGTGGCGAACGTCATTTACTGTAGTACTATACAAAGAACGACATGGCCATGAATGTTACATCATGGATCGTCAGTACTACATATTCGATCAAGTTACAAAGCGAACATGCCGTTCGAGTTTATCAATACTCTGTGAGACTGTACCGTGTCACGTCTCCAGCTGATCGAACTATATTTGACGGCTAGCCGACCGATATCCTACCCCCGCTTACCGATAGCCTGCCCAGAATTGATAGCTCTGGGAAAATTACTGATATACTACCAAGATTTACGGGAGCGCGCGGGTGCAATTCATCGATCGTTCTTCGCCGCTTAAGTGATCGATGGGATACAAACATTGGCCTGGCGTTTTCTTTTGCGAAATGTCAAATCCTGATTTTTAAGACCTCGGTGCCGTATCGCAGGATCGCACTCCCATTGAAGGTATAACGAAATCGCTAGATTTCTTTCGGCACCATTTACTCATTGTATTGGGAAAGGTTCCAGTGCAACAGCATCTACCCATCATAGCCAACCGCGTAAATACGCAATTAGGTAGAGTATCCGAGTAGTCTTTGACCACGGCGGTCACCTGATCGCGTAGCTCCATGGTTGGGACGAGTCACTTCCCAATCTTTTGCTCTGCATCTAGGCAAACGGCCCGGGTTGGAAAGAGCGAAATGATGTATTTCGTGTATGACCCCAGGCATTTTAATGTTGACGCGTAGTTGCAAATTATCCGTGTCCATTTCTAAGATTTCAATCTTGTCGTAGACGCTCATTTTTATATTGGGATGTTCATGTAATCTTGAAGTGCACGTTTCTTCAGATTATCGTGGTGTCTATTCTATCATCCCGCCGAAAAAAAAGAAGTATGAAAGGGCAGCTCAAGCAGAAAAGCACTTCATCTTCTATGGCATACAATGCTCTCTTAGCTTGTTCGGCCTATCGGATCCAGCCTGTAAGTCTTGTGTAAGACTCTAGCTGAAAGACTTTCTAGGTCAAGAGCGCCCACAATTGAAAGACTGAATGTCATCGGCGTTAAAGGTGGACCACAGGTGACGTGATCTGCAGGTAGATCGGTCAAAAATCAGCTGAGAACAAATGCTGGTCACCTTGAAAGTTCTCTTGCGCATGCATGTTAGTTGATCTTATGGGGCTAGTTCTAACTAAGAAAGGTGTCATTCTGTAATATCGACCGACTTCTGTGGAGTGAGTTCTCTCTCCTTCAAACATGACACGCGCTTCGATAAACGGCCATGACCTCGCAGACGGTGCAATTCGGTTGAATGACGCATGACACGAAAGACGTCCGCACGGTTGATGCATGCTGTACAAATGATCCAACGTAGACCTAGTTCATGTAGCAAGGTATTCGCCACTGTCGCGAATTACCTCGATGATGTCGAAGCAGTATAGACCTAGCGCAGCGTGGATGGAAAAATCTTGTGGCCCCGCCTGCAAGATGAGATAGTCATGCATGGTATGCTGCTTTGCCGTCAAGCATAATGGGTACCAGCATTCAGTAAAAAGTATCAACCAAATCAAAGTGCCAAATGACGGTGTGCGCTCGAGTTTTTCTTCATTAGTACGCAGGTCATCCACAAGATTGCCCTCAACTCTAGTGGAGACTTCCCAAAGTATCCTAGTGTCCCACAACTTACAATCCACTCTATTCGATAGCGAGGAGCACTAGGCTTTTCTGATAAAACGAATTGGATGTTTGCATTCTCTGTACCAGCCTGACCGCAAATTCAACCACCTTCGCCAAGTCTCTCTTTCACACTTTTTGCACTCAAGTAAACAGCCCACCATTGACTTTATCGCAGCATCCAGGCGTAAGGAGCGGTATATCGCCATGGATTCTGCCTCGATTCTTCTCTGTCTCCAGCTTTGCAGCTGCTGGTAGTTAAGTGGTAAGAAGTTGACCCATCACACTGCATCCATGCATCAAGGTGGTACGGTCGCACCCATCGTCGCATCCGCATGCACGGAGCTCCGACATTTACCTTTCCGAAGTAAAGCGGACTGAGAAACAGACGAACGGGTGTACGACCATCTGGGCGGAGAAATCGACGAGTGAGAGTTCGACGGTCGGGATAGCATGTTATCAAGCGCATTGGACTACCCCGTTTTTGTGAGACACTGAAGAACGCTGGCCCATGCTGTTCAGACAGTATTGGGCTGTTGTTCAACTGTGCGGGCGAAAATACAGTCCAGAGCGGCGTTCTCTTTGTCCGTACATTTGAAAAATGACCGAGCGCCACCGTATCGAGGCGAGGCGTGTGAAAGTTGCGAAGCCACGTTTTCGACAAAGAACTTTTATTATATTTCGTGCAGCTTTTGTAGCCTTTGCAACTATCACTTGCGCTCCCCGAGGTCAGTGAACGAACATTCGACGGTTGCGCGGTTCTTAGACAAGCTACTGGAAGATACCCACATCGTCAAGGTGAGCTCATAGTTTGTCCTTCAGCATGCCTATAGAAGATGGTGCGCTTATAAATCTTGTCGACATCAACGAATTGTGCGTGCAGTACTTGCATTGTACCTACCAAGGCAGATAGCACTTGCCTGCACTGAAGGAAGACCTTCCAACACACACGCGCCTTGTGCCCGATCCGCTGTCGCGCTCGAGCTGAAATACATCGAACTTGTGTAGAACCGGCACTTCCCGTGACATACAATGGCATTACCAGCCGTACTGACGCACATACACGCCCAGGGCTCCGTCATTTTTCGGACTTAATCCCTGTCTCCCCCGTACAGTCCCCTACGCCGTTCATGATCAAGGTATGCTAATGATGAATCGATTGCAGCTTCACATGGAGCACACTTTGCGCAAGTTGGGAAGCGTGATCAAATCGCCATCTCCTATTATTGCCCGTGCCTGCAACTGAAGGTGGTATGAACGGAGCGAACGTTATTCGGAGAATGCTCAGACAATGGCACAGTAGATTGCCGGTTTCAATGAGCCTACGACGATGAAGTAGTTTGGCACTCAGATTTCCTGGTTGGCTCAAAGTCAATGCACAGGCCACATGCCTTGAAATGTCAGCACCACAACAGACGTTTTGCTGGTTCGGTAATGACAACTGCAGGCGTCGTCCATTCACCAGCTTATTTTTTATGATGTTTAGCTTATTCGTTACTACCTTCGTCTTCAAGACAAAGTGCAAGTGATCGTTGCTGGCAACGAGGTCAACCAGTCGTTCTTACGTCACGCGGATATTTATGAAGATAGCGGAACCGCACTTGCCTACTGTCAGAAACAACTTATCGGGCTCCGTCCGCTAACCAGTACATCAATTTAGGCTCATGCCCCAAAAGTGCAGTCATCGTGCTTTCGTGTATGTATTGACTGCATTCTCGTCTATCGACACGTGTGCACATCCAACAAGCGTCGTGAGTGGCAAAGACCTCATCGATCGACGCCCGCCTGCTCAGGATTACTTGCACCTTACAAAAATGTACTTAACCATATTACAGTCGTAGGAAGTGCAGTGACCATAACGCATCACGACGGTGATGTTGATTGACATGACACCATTGCTTGAGTGAGGATCGGCGTCACTTTGTCGTGTCAGGGCTTGTTTCTGAATCAGTTGTTACTTTCTGTTCTGACTACTATTGAACCAAACAGATTTCTGATTTCAGCAATCGCCACCACAACCGTTACATTTTCTTGATCACCGCGCTCCTTCTTCCTCAGTAACTTCTTGTTTCTGTACGTCTGGTTGTTTAGCTCACAAAATGAAAACTGCTGCCACCATCAAGCGTCGTTCACACAGGAAGATAGTAAGCTTGCTAAATTCTTGGCCATGGCATGCTGACCACGCTCATGGTTACCTTGATCAGCAACTGGCCAAAACAGGAAAGTGGTGCATTCATCGAAATACGAAAGGCATTATAGTTCATTAACGGTGATGCATGTATAACTTCCTTCCACCCCAGCTCTGCCCCCTTACTGCCCCAAAGTTATGGAATCAACAATTTTCCTAGCCTTACTGCTTCCGAGGCCGACATTGTTACAACCACTGATTTCATGATCAGAAGATTTAGTCTCCTCCCTAACAGATGCATCATCAAGTAAAAATTTCAAGCTTGGCGCTTCTGGACCACAATAGATGCATTTGTTGCAGTCCAAAAGTTGGCCCCCTCGTTCCAAAGACAGCCTCCTCTCCTCTTCCATACCCTTTCCGACACGTAAATGATAATTCTGGTTCGTGTTTCATGCACCAATCTCATCCGTGCTTGAACGTCAATCACTCTACCATGGCAACCGAGACCTTGAAATTATCGAGAACACATGCGACACTTTAGCGCATTTCTTGGTACTCTAGTTCCATGCTTCCATATAAATCGAGATTGCGCAAAGGAGTGCGTGCGCAAAACCCCCACTCTTTCGCCCCGTCTGGTCTACACCAACGCGCATTCTTTCTGAAGCCATGGCTCGCACTCGACATGGCTTCACCTTTTCGTTTGTATTCCAGCTTGTTTCACCTCGTGTTACCTTTTCTGACGCACCACACAACCTCTACTTAACGACCATGCAGTGGCTGGTCACAACTACCAACAGCACATGGACGTGCCCCTCGAGCAGGTCAAGCGCGCAGCGGCGCTCCAGGCACGCCGCCGCGAAGAGCTGGACGCGCTCAAGAAAGAGCGGAAAGAGCGTGACAAGATGTCGGTGACTGCCAACTTCAGCGGGAAGCAGAAGAAGCACCAGCTCCGTGCACGCAAACAGCGACTGGCCTCTCGCCGAGACGACGAGGCGGCGCTGGACCTGCAGAGCGCGCAGTACGAAGCGTTCTATGCTGGAAAATTGGCAGCAGATGAGGAAGCAGTAGATGAAAGGAGTGGCAATCAAGACGTGCGTGCGTCATTGGATTTTTTCGCGCGAGCGAACGATCTGGACAACGACCTCAGTGCCAGGCTGAAACTCACTGTGGCTCTAGGCAAGAACAATAAGGATGCGGTGGGTAAAGAGCTCTCGAGCTTCTTTGTGAAGGAGACGAAGGAGCAAATTCAGCTGAGACTTATGGAGGGACAAGGACCACTGGATGTGAAGAAGAGAGAGACGCCGCTGCTGGCGGTCGTGAGTGAACGCGACCCGATTCTGGACCACCCGAAGCGACCACAATGGACGTATACAATGTCCAAGGAAAAATGTGTGTGGAGTGCGGGGTGTAGTGGGAAGACGTCACTTTATGGTTGACTTGTGTGTACCGTGTTTTTGCTGATGGTTCGTGTGGTAGTGGACAACAATGAGAGTATCATGTTTGACCAGTGGCTGACGAAGATTCATGACAAGTATGACAACGAGCACTTGAACCACTTTGAACACAATTTGGAGGTCTGGCGCGAGCTGTGGCGTGTCATTGAGCGAGCAACGCACGTTGTGGTCGTGGCTGATGTGCGCAACCCACTACTTCATATTCCTGCTTCCGTGTACGATCTCGTCACGAAGGAGCTAAAGAAGCCGATGGTTGTCGTGCTGAATAAGGTTGATCTGATTCCAGCCGCTGTGATCCAGCTCTGGAAGCGCTACTTGTCTGGACGATTTCCGCTTGCCCAACTTGTCTACTTCTCATCGCGCTCCAACGCTGTGTATGGCGATACCAATGTAAGTATCCGGCGCCGTGTCCTCAGGTGAGCAAGGCAGTGGTACGATGATGTTGGGCTTGATTGGGCAGATTTTTATTGTCTCTTTGCTGCCTGCAGCAAGAAGCTTGATGTAGGAGATGCGTCGGCGATTAAGGGTGCAGTGGATATCCTGGTGGCTTGCGGCATTGAGACCACAGAGGCGCAACAGCTTGCTGAAGAGTTGAACGCAGACGCTTTGACACGAGAGAGTTTGCCGCCGCATTTTGATGCTGCGCAAGACCAGAAGGCAGGTGGTAAACGTCGTAGTCGACGCAAACAGAAGAATCGTGGTGGCGTTCGACATAGCAAAGCAGGTGATGATGGTTTAGCCTCGCATTACGAATGTCAGCACTGTGGCAGTGACGGTGCTGTCGTCGCTTGTATGTCATGTGCAACTGGTGGGCGGCCGAGCAGTACCGACGCCAATGTCAAGGATGAAGCGGATGCTATCGCTCGAGGATACTTGTTATGCACACGTTGTGATCGTGAGGAGCATGCCGAACTTAAAGGCCATTACCAAGTTAAGCTACAATCTGCGTCGGCCACGACGTCGACGGACCTCCCGGTACCTGGTAGCGCCGGAGCGATTGGCTCCGCCCACACACCAAAGGTAACCATCGGTCTGATCGGTCATCCGAACGTGGGCAAGTCCAGTGTGTTGAACGCGCTCGCCGGCAAGAAGATTGTGAGTGTCTCGCACACGCCAGGACATACGAAAAGACTCCAGTCCATAATGATCACACCTGAGATCTGCATTTGCGACTGCCCTGGTCTCGTGTTTCCATTTGCTGGTGTGCCAAAGTACCTCCAAGAGCTAAGTGGGCTGTACCCGTACTCACAGGTAAGGGGTCGTCTTTGCCAAACGGTCGGCATATGTAGCATACTGCTTGTTGTTGACTCTGTTTCTGTTTCATGTAATGTCAGATTCGGGAGCCGTACTCAGCGGTGCGATTTCTAGCAGAACATGTCGTGCTGGAACACATTTTGGACTTGAAGCCTCGCACGCAGCTTTTTGACGGACAGATGGAGGAACTGGTACGCGCAAAGCAGCAATGATTATCGCCACATGTGCCGAAGGTTTACATCTTACTTTGTTTTGCAGGAATGGACGCCGTGGAATTTATGTGAGGCTTATGCAGAGAAACGCGGTTATCGCACAGACCGTCGTGGTAGGCCAGACCACCAACGAGCTGGATCGGAGCTCGTACGCGACGCAGTGGACGGCATTTTACCCTTGTTCTTTCTTCCTCCTGATTACAGTGGGAAGGACGTTACGCCGACCAGTATCGCAAAATACTGCAAGCTTGAAGAAGCCCCACTTGGAAACGATGATAATAACGCAAGCGCTGACGAAACCAGTTCAGAGGAGGCTGAGAAAGAGGAGAACGAGCCACGAGCACAACCTGCAAGTCGGAGGAATCAGCACTCAGCTCCAGCTAACGCGTTCAGCTTACTGGATTCAGACTCAAGTGACGATGAAGACAGTAACGAATGGTAAATATGTCAACCGAGCAGCCCACCAAATAGACCAGTTCCGCGTCTCGCAGTGTGTCAGGCTCATTCGTTCATCTTGACACGGTCACTTGGTGATTACATATAGTTTCGCTCGTCTTACATCCTCCTCAGGACATTCTTCCAGCTTCACGGCGGCATCTGCCTCATCTTCTGCAGGCAGCCCAACCTCCTTGAACCTGAGTCCTGAGTCGATGATCTGCTTTTGCACGAGTTCATGTGACACGTCAGCTCGAGGAATATGGCACAACACAAACACGCGCGCTTTGCCATCCACAGTCAACACTTGCATGACCGTCGCAAACAGCAGCGGCAGCAACTCGCTCTTATAAAGCACGTCACCGGCCAGCACAACGTCGACATCGGAGAAAGCACTCGGAAACTCTTCCAGAAGCATCTGCGTCGACGGCTCGTCCCCCCAAAGCAGCGGGCGAGCCACCACGACATTCTCCACGTCATTCACGTGCACGTTCTTGGCCAACAGCTCGACAACTTCTTCATCTCCGTCAGTAGCCATGCAGTGCATGGCGCCAAGCTTCAATGACACGATACTACAGATACCAGTGCCAGCGCCGAGTTCCAGCACGCGCTTGTCTTGCACGAGCTCCGGATGGTGCCACAAATACTACCACACCACAGCAAAAGCACACACACACACATAGACTGTCAAGCATGGCAGGTGCCTCCCATCAACTGCAAAAGCTTCAGCATCAACGCACCCGTGAGAGAAAGTGAGAGCCTGTCCAAAGCCGCGTGCCTGAGATCTCCGTCACGTTTGCGTCCATCTCCGCCAACATGAAGAGCGACGCAGCTACCGAGAGCTCCTCCATCTGGAACACCTGCACCTCCAGGTCACCCACCACCACGCGCTTGACCTCGTACTCCACGCACGCTCGCCAGTCGGCCTCGTCCATTGAATCGCGGGCAGTGCCAACGTCAGTACCTCGTTCGTTCGTCATTTTGGCTGCTGCAGCTGCTGCTGGTCGACAAGTGATGCACCTCGAGCAGAAATAAACAGGTTTCATGATGGCTACACTTGGGTCGGAATGGGTACATAAAAATAGACGGGACTTGTTGTAGCTGAGTCGAGGAGTCACCTCAAGAGTTGCAGCCTTGTCCAAGGCGCAAGTGAGGAGGATATCCGCATATCCGTTTGACAGCTGGGTGGGAGTCGTAGCATTCATTGACGCATGTCGAAAGATCGATTAGGTGTCATGAAGGTCGAAGACCGATAGTCAGATCGAGATTGCACTGCATTTATTCGTACACGCAAGTTCATACTTCACTCGACATCCTCGTGAGCAATGCAATCGGCTGTAGGGCATGACTCTACCACGCCCCAACGCGTGCGACATCGTCGATCGTCAACTCCGGAGACCGAACGTTGCGGTCTCACATACGCGAAGCAAACATCCTTGCCGTATAAAGGTCGTGAACATGATGATTCGGTTTTCTTCACAACACTCTTGCTAGCTGAATCCTGTAACGCCGTGTGACGATTGCAGCACTCGCGGCAGCCGTATAAGGCCCCGAGCACTTCGGCGACGAGAAGAATCCATTCTCATAGACAGTCGCTCAGGAGCTGCGGTTGGACGGTCATTGTCAATGAAAGAACGTTGCTATGGACAAACTTTTTGCGTCGCCTCTCGCATTGCAATCGAGTGTCGTCGAAGCAAATGAATCGTGCTCCGTCTAAAAGCCAGTGCTGTGCTTGACGCCAGACCGAACGAGAGTTCCACTCGCATCTTAGCTGCTCCATGCTCCAGACGTGCCTTGACACCTGCTTAGACGTTGCACCCCAGCTGGTGACTTTGCTGTCACACTTGGACTTGTCTATCATGGCACGCAAGCTGTAGGGCGAAGCGTTTGTTCGTTCGTTCGTTTGTCCATCGCCTTGAGTCACGACCACAGAGCGACTGACTACAGAAGGGCACGCAACAGTTGCAATTCAAACACGACACTTCCTACAAGCGAGTTGGGCTCACTTGGTCTCGTACTTTGCAGTCGCAAATGGCCATCAAGCGAGCGAGATAAAAAGTCACGCCTGCCTGGTCGTATGGTACCAGGATCGGTCTAAAACAGCTGTTAAAGTCGCTGATCGAGCAGCTACTACGCCACCTTCCTTCTGTAACTCTGCATTACTTCTCGCGTAGAAAAGAGCCTCAATTTGCACCCAGCGCAAAACAGACAGGACGTTCACCCGAAGTCGATCTAGTCGACGCACTGCGCTGTACTTTTTACCACAAGCGCCACCCCCCCACTCTCACGCGCCGACTGGCCGAAATACAGCGAATACGCCATGATTGGCCAAAATACACCGTCGATGCGCCATGTCTCTGCCTCGACTGCGTCAAGTGGCTCGAGCCTCCTCAGCTCAACGAGCGCCTTCGACTGTAAGTTCGGTGGCATCTTGCTACTAGCAGGTTACGTACCCGCCGCCGACTTTCCCCCCTCGAAGTCGACGCTCGCGTACAGCACAACGCGCGATCGCGGCTTCCAACGCGTGCCCGAGCGACGACCCGACGCGAGTGGTGCTGACTGCGAGCGCCACATTGACAGGTTAAGCTGGACCCGAAAGAAGCGCGGAAAACGGGGCCCGGCCGCTCGCATGATGACGCCGTCTAGCATCACGGGGAGCTTTGGTGGAGCCATTAACTTGACTGCGAGTAGCATCGCACCTACGTGGACCACACAGCCGCCTTCAAGTCGCTCGGCGTCTGTGACGCTGCATCAACTTAATGGGTTCAGTATGCGCAACTTGTCCGTGGACGGCACGAGCAGAGACGTGTTACTCAACGTTTACTTTCGACTAGGTACGACTGTAATGCTGATGAGTTTTTTGTTCGTGGATGGGGTTTCTGTTGATAGGAATTGAGGCTCCATTGTAATCACCCACGAGCGTTTTTTTGTGCGATCACGTTTGTCGTTTGTGTCAATGTCTTTTTTTGTAGTGGTCGACGGCCGTGTCGTCTACGAGAGTGAAGTCGCGCGAAATACGCTGAATCCTGTGTGGGTGCCATTCAAGTCGAAGGACGATGACATTGGGGACGGCCTGGCAGGTGTGGAGACGCTGCTGAGTGGCGGCACGAGGTTTGAGATTGCAGTAGTGCGTGTGCACGATCGGAAGGCAGTGAAGCGGCCACGACGCAAGCCGCGCTTTCCAAGTGATCGGTTATCGTTAGGAGACGACCAGCCGGTGAATAACTCGCGGTCATTTGCGGATGTCAAAGGTAGTTTCGATGACGTCGACGATGCGGCTGGTGCGCACGACGGCATGACGGATTCGGACACGTCGACATTTGCAGGAAGCTCTAATGGAAACAGTACGAAAGTGTTTGAGGAAGACATTTTGAGTCTCAACTTTGGCATACGGGAGCTCGAACCGCTGCCAGTGGCCCTTACCGATTTGACAAACTTGCCTTTGAACACATGTTTGTTCGAGTTCTCGGGCCACACGTATGTGCACCGGGATGTGCTTGAACTACTGGTTGAAAAAGGTGTCATCGCGCCCAAGCACTCGCGGAGGAAAGGCTCGGCTATTCCGCTGAAGGACTACAGCTTACATAAAGGCGTTGATGCGCTTGAACACATTTTGACGACAAAACAGAAGATCACAGAGTTGACTGCGGCGAATGCCGCACTGAAAGAGCAGATCCGAAACAAACTATTGCACTCACAACAGCGGATTGCGCGCGAACATCAGCGCACGATGTTAGAGGAGCGCGTTCGCCTTGCAAGAGCGCGAGTCGCAGTAAAACGACACACAATGGAGCGGCTGAGAGCCGTGATGGAAGATGAGCGCAGAACGTTTGAAACGGACATCCATATTGCAAAGGCACTCGTAAGCACCATGCAGATGACGATGCGGTACAAGGAAGAACGTCAAAATATTCTCGAGCGTCGTTGTGAGGTATTGCGTGCAGCACACAAGATTCGCTCTCGGCAGGCGATGCTGGTCCAGCAGCTTGGCACCATTTACCCAATCGATTATGTAGGCGCTGGCGAGTATAGTATTCGCGGCATTCGCATCGCCAACTCAGACCTCACAGGCGGCGGCCGAGCTGACGAGGAGATGATCTCCACTGCTTTAGGATACATTGCACATTTGGTGTTTATGCTTAGCAAGTATCTACGGGTGAACCTCCGGTATCGCGTGGTACCATATTCGTCACGTTCCTTTCTCAAAGACGAGATCAACGACCCGCATGGCGAGTATCCATTGTACAAGAGAGGTGTCGAGAAAGATCGTCACGAGAAGGCAATTCGTTTTCTTCGCAAGGATGTTGAGCAGGTACGATCTGTGGACTGTGATGTTGACGCATAAGTGTTTAATGCTGCTGTGTGTATGGTTGGGATACAGCTCTTGTTTGCGCGCAGTTTAGATCCCACACAAGAAGCGCCTATCTTGGCTCGACTAAAGGAGCTCACAGATGCTGAGAGTGCATGGCTTGCGATCGATCGAAATGTAAGCAGCAACGCAGGCTGTAGCCATGGTGCCGATGCCGGTGCCATCGTACCGAGATAGATGAACAAAGAAGTCCGGGGCTGACATGTCCACTCGAATATGGTAATACTAGTTAGAAGTTTATTTGTTACTGTTGGCTGCTGCTGTGCACGCATCTGCTGCGCTTACAGCTTCGAGCTTGCAGCATTGTGTGGATAGTGTGTTGCGTACCAGTGGCGCGCAATCTCCTCACGCGTGCAGATCCAGACGTCGTCGAAGCTCAGGACGTAGTCCGAAAAGCGCAGCAATGCAGCAATACGTCCCGGATGTCCGACCACGCGGCAGTGCAAGCCGACTGACATCATCTTCGGCTGTCCAGCTCGTCCCTCCTCGAGCAACACATCGAAGGCGTCCTTCAAGTACGTATAGAACTGATCTCCTGAATTGAATCCCTGAGCAGACACAAACTTCATGTCGTTCGTGTCAAGTGCATAAGGGATGACAAGATGTGGACGTCCAAAGTGCGTGTCCCAGTACGGCAAGTCGTCATTGTACGCGTCGGCATCGTACAAGAACCCGCCTTCGTCAACCACAAGTCGACGAGTGTTAACGTTTGGTTTGCCCTGGTAGATCCCCACCGGTCGTTGTCCCAGCAGTTTCTCATGGATGGCCACAGTTTTGCGGATATGCTCGCGCTCGGTCGCTTCGTCCACGTTTTGGTAGTCAATCCAGCGGTAGCCATGGCTCGCCACTTCCCATCCAGCCGCTGTCATCGCCCGTGCCGCCTCTGGGCTTTCTTCCAGCGCTCGACCAACTGCAAAGACAGTGAGAGGCATGTTCCGAGCAGTGAAAGCACGATGCAGTCGCCAGAAGCCCGCTCGACTGCCGTATTCATACAGAGACTCGATGTTCAGGTGGCGCTGACCCGCGTAAGGTTTGGCCCCGACAATATCCGATAACAGGTGCTCGGACGCCAGGTCTCCATTCAGCACACAGTTCTCTCCTCCTTCTTCGAAATTGAGCACAAACTGCAGAGCGAGGGTCTTCCCGCCAGGCCACTTGGGGTCAATGGCACGCGCCCCGTAGCCGACAAAGTCTCGTGTGCCCATGTCACGCTTGAACACTTGAAAGTGGATCGCTCACGTCACTCGCACGGGGCGATCGCTGAAGTAACAGCAGATGCTCACGGGGTTATTTTGGTTGATACCTCTCCGTTGGAATAATAAACAATCATCAAAGACAAAATCAATTATTTAGTCCCCTTTGGTCGAATCGCAACGTCAAAAAGGGAGAAGATCGAACAAACATCGGACCTACTCGTCAGCAGCTACGCTAGTCTCGAGTCATGCCTGGAGACGGATACGACCGCCACATCACCATCTTCTCGCCTGAAGGACGACTCTACCAGATCGGTGCGTTTTCCCCTGTCCGCCCCCCGCATGCTCTTTGGTTGTATCCATCCCCTCGCACTTTAATAGTCAGAGCTCTGACCACGCGACCTCTATGTTTGTTGTTACTTCAGAGTACGCCTTCCGTGCTGCCAAGGAGTCGACACTCACGTCAGTCGCTGTACGGGGTCAAGACAGTGCCGTGTTTGTCACGCAGAAGAAAGTGCAGGTGAGAACGAGAGACGAGAGACGAGTAACGAGAGGGAGGGACCACATCTAACGCCTTTGGTCTGTGGGTGTCTCGACTCTTGAATCAATAGGACAAACTGATCGAGCCCGAGTCGGTCACGAATGTGTTCCACATCACGCCCGAGATTGGCTGCCTCATGACGGGACTATACGGTGTGTATACACTCGTGCCTTTTTGTATAGCAGGAGTTCTGGAGAGGTCATGGAGGCTGACCATTGCATTGTTTTGCTGTGTCACGACTGTAGCCGACTCGAAGGCGCAAGTGCAGCGCCTGCGTTACGAAGCCCACGAGTTTGAGAACAAGTTTGGCTACAAGATTTCCTGCCACGTGCTGGCCAAGCGCATTGCTGACGTGGCGCAGGTGTATACACAGCACGCTTCCATGCGTGCGTTTGGTGTGGTCACGATGCTCATCAGTGTGGACGAAGAGAAGGGGCCGCAGCTGTTTAAGGTTGATCCAGCTGGCCACTTCTGGGGCTACAAAGCCACGGCAGCAGGTGTCAAGGAACAAGAGGCGCAGAACTATCTGGAGAAGAAGATTAAGGCCAATCCGGCCATGGACTACGAGCTGACGCTGCACACGGCAATCACGTGTCTCCAGTCGATACTGTCGGCGGACTTTCGCCCGAATGAAATCGAGGTTGGCGTCGTGGTGCAGGGCCAGCGATTCCGGAAGTTGACGGAGGACGAGATCGAGACCCACTTGACTTCGATCAGCGAGCGTGACTAAGTTCGACATGTCTGCCGGCTGAGACGTTGGACCCCGCCTAGGCACACGCATACGGAAGAAGCACACGAGAGGATAAGCAGTGCGCTGCAGATGAACAGCTTTGCACTGGTACCTTGATTCCGTCTGAGTTTCTCTGACGCTGCAGGACCAGTTGATGAGCACATAAACATCGAAAACCCAACGAGTTCAACTTCACAACCAGTCTTCTAGGCTTTGCACTTCCTCGCATTTCTCCCGCATCTTATGTATGTTCACAATATAAAGCAGCAACCTCATTCATTACAACTCCGGCAGTGGAAATGCTTGCACACATGCATGTTGGTGATCGAGTTTTCTCCCTTCGACACCAGCCAAGATAGATCACCTCGTCATGACCATCCAATGGCGGCGCCTAACTCGAATTTGTGCATTTTACACACACAGGAACTGGATCAACAAGCTCCGTCCATCCTGATTACAGCAGTCTCTTCAGCGCACCCGGTGTGAGCGTGCTTCGTCGAGATTCACTAGCAGGCGAGCTTCTCCGGCTACCACGACTGATATCCCCAGGGCCCAGTGACTGACGTCTCGTGGATTTGATCTGACGCACAGGAGCACCAAGCTCGCACTGGCTCACCTTGTGTGCAAAGCGCATACTGCACAAGGACTCGTCCAGGGACGCATATGTTGGAGACAAGTTGGCCATCATTAGAGTCTTGCCATCACCCGAGAGCGCAGGCTGCAGCGCGTACGTGAGCTTGCTATTCCGGTATGGCACGTGAGGGGACTTCTTTGCTAGAGCTTGGAACACGTCAGCCAACGCACTCAAACTCTTGTTAATCGCCTGTGCCTCCTTCAGACGATTCCCCGTGACATTCGATCGGCCTAGTCGCTCACTACCAGCGAGATCGACCAAACTCAGGCTCCCTTCGACCTCGGTCTTTTGCACCTCGTTATACCCCCGGATCGTCAGCGCGAATATACTATGGCTGCGAGATGAGTGCGCGTTCATGTCGGTGCGGTCCACGGACCGGTTGCACGCAGCCAAAGTGACGATCTCGTCCACCTGCCCTGCTGCCTGGTCAAAATCGATGATGACCTCAGTCAGCCCCTCCACGTAGTTCTTTCCTCGACTATCCGTGCGGATGCTGTGCTTCGTATCCTTACAGCTGTCCGAGGTAAGCAAGTCACGGATGGTCTCATTGTAAATCTCATAGAACGTCACCATGAGCGAGAAATGCCATCCCGTTGACGTCAATTCTTCACAGGACTGGATTATCAAATCGATCGATCGTGGGATGATACCGCGCATCTGCGCCTTGCCACTTCCTTGCATAGTGTGAGTCTTCCCAGACCCTGTTTGTCCATAAGCAAAGATGCATACATTGTAGCCATCCATCGCAGACTGAATGAAGTCCGACACGTCCTTGAACAGAAATTCTTGCGAGTCCGACGGACCGTAAATCTTGTCGAACGCGAACGTGTGAGGGTTCTCGACATTTGTCGTGATCGTTGAAGCAAAGGTATCGCAAATGATAGCCGACTGTGGATTCTCCGCCGACGCTTCCATGCCATCAGACCGCAGGAATGGACGCAACCTTACGTGCACGCGAATGTTGCCACGCAGCTCTTGAATGGCGTTATGTAGTTTGCGGCGCATTGCATCACCCTCAACTATCGTCAGCTCCAGCTCCGCAATAGTATTTGACTTCTCAACAAGGCTTTGTTGCGCCTCCAACAAATTGTCCGTCAACTCCCGGATACGCTGAGTCGCTGCTTTGTCGCCCGTCTGAAGCGTACAACTATCATTACTCGATCCACTGATGACCACGCTGCTACTAGGCATTTTGTTTTGGCTCCTAGGCCCAGCTTCCCGCATCAGCCGATTCTGGTCTTGCAAAAGCTTCATGTCGCCTGCAAGTGATACTTTTTGCTTTTCATGGCGCGTCTGCAGCTCCTCCAACTTCGCTTCGTGCGTCGTCTGGAGAGCCACCATTTGTGCATACAACGCTGTATTCTCCACAGTCAGCTGCTCTACATTTACTTGAAACTGCTCCCGACGGTTCTTCTCGTCTTCAAACTTGGCCTCCATTGCAGCCAACTTGTCTTGTAACAAATTCTTCTCTGCTACGATAGACTTGGACGCACGAACACGATCACCGTTTTCAGTCTTTAGACTTGACGTCCTGGATTTCATGATCGAGATCGTCTGGCTTAGGTGCGCGATCTTCTTGTTTGCTTGGGATAAGTCTTCGGTCAAATTGCGGTTCTGCTTAGCCAAGTCCGTCGTTTTCTCCCAAAAACTATGAGCACTAACTGATCGCTCTTCGTCATCATCGTCCATCTGCTGCTTGAAAAAATCCCGTTCTGAGCAAGCAGCGTCTAGATCCAACTCCAATTGCCGGATCTTCTGGTTCAAGTTCATGTTCAGCTCCTCGATGGCCTTCAGCTCGTCATCTTTGCCATGTAGAGTCTCAGTTACCAAGCGCGAGCTGGAGAGCACCGACTCCGACGACCGCTCACGTTCCTGAGCTAGTGCTTGTTCGTGTTCCAAGAGTTGCTCCGCAAACCGCATTTTCCACTTCTCTTCGATCTTGTCCGTGGCCTTCTTCAGAATACCGCGCACGTAAGACGACAACGGCGAGTCTTCCTGCATCGCCTGCTGAAGCTCGTGACGCTGCTGATCAGTCTCTCCCTTCGACAATCTCGGAAAGATATTCTGCGACGAAACTGTCGATGCAGTCTCCGAGTCGGAGGTCAAGTGCGGTGACTTCGACAACGGCCCTTCACTATGAAAGTCTTCCAGTTCCAGTTCTTCGGACAATACTTTCGTGTGTTTAGCAGGCTGCGAGTCGAGAAAATGAGTCAACCGTTTAATCTCCGCAGCTGACGCGTCGACGTACTCATTCTGCTCCAGAGTCTTCATCTCAAAAGCCTCACAACACTTCATCAGTCCTTCGCTGTGTACACGCAATCGACGCAATCCTGCCGTCATCAGCTTGATCTCGTCTTGTCGAGCTTTCAAATTTGCCGTCGTCAGCACTTTACTTGGCGTCGCAGAAGACACGTACATCAGCAGTTCCTCAACACCTTTGTCCGTCAGCTCATGGTCCTTCTTCAACGCCAATACGGACTCCTCATTCAACGTAAAGTCTTCTGGATCAACCGTCACGGATGGAGCTGTAGCTGGCCACACTTTTTGTAGCGCCGACTCAATGCGTCCTTGTGATGCGGTTGCGGCACTAGTCCCCACACTTCTCCGCGTTGGTGTCATTCTCGACGACGCTGCCGATCGAAACGACGCTGACGTCGTGGACGAGGCCATCGACGATGCCGACGACTGCGAGCAGAAACTGCTACGTCGGTTCTCCCGGTTGCTACCGACCAGCTCATGTAGCGTCTTCCTGCGCTCCGACGCTGCACCAGAATGCAACTGGATCCTCGACCTCGAGAGCGACGACCCACTTGCCCCACTACTGGCCACACTGCTCAAGCTGCCCATACTGTCAGTCCTCGTCAAGCCGTAGCTGTCGTCCCTCACGCGCGGCTTTGCCGTCACCCGCTTCACCACGCCGTCCTCAGAGCTCCTCGGTCCATTCTTCGTGTCCGCTGTTGTTCTGGCGGCAATGCCTCGTCGATCTACCGTCGGCTTCGTGGGTACTTCAGTCACCAACGAGGCGCTGCTCGTCCTCCTCATCGGCGTGTAAACTCTCGAGATCGTGCTGGGCGCACGCAGCTTCGAGAAGCCGGAAGACCCGCTATGGCTCCGGACCAATGGCGACGTCGACGCGTCATCGTCTTCGCTGCTGATCACGTGATCTTGGTCCCGTGCGTCTTCCATAGCTGCTGAACCACCAGAGAAAACGGGTGCACTGCGTCACTTGGTTGCGCTGTGTCTTGTCGTCTGCACTTGGTAGGAAACTTCCAGCAGTCGATCAGCTCAGCTGGTTGGTGTGCGGTGGTGGTGTGAGCTGCAGAAACAGGCGCTTCGTGGGGGAGGGGGCTGCAGCCTCGAGCTTGTGGCCACGTTGGGAGCTTGTGGCCGAGTGAGTGAGTGAGTGACTGAGTGACTGCTGGCGTTCGTTCGTTCGGTCGATCGAGTGGCAGAACTTTCAGGGCGCAATCCCGTCGCGACGACCTGGACTCGAAAGCTGGTTCCGCGAGTCCTACTTAAGCGGGAGCATACAATTATCAAGTCTACTGTGTGTGGCCAGTCGGGGTGTTGAGCTGGCTACACAAACGTCTTTCGGAGGATGCTGACACGTTACGATTTGCACGAGACATTGAAGCAGCAGCAGCAGCTACCAGACGGCAGGAGGAGGAAAGGCTCGGGGAGGAAAGTCAATGGGGTTCAACTGATGCAAGTCGCTGCTTGAGACACAATCGAGGAACGGGTCCCTCTCTTTCTTCCTCTCTCTCTCTCTCTCTCTCTCTCTCTCTCTCTCTCTCGTTCTTTCTTCCTTGTGAGTCACGCCTTTTCAGCTGTTCGCAGTCATAGATCGGGATCGCGGATGTATCGATTCCCTTCCGACTCCTTGATCTCCGCTCTGTGGCAAATCCTCACGTCAGCCATACGATGCCCCCTCGAGAACGAACCTACCCACTGTACTCTCCAGCACGCACCTGTATCGACCCACGGTCATGACCGTGCGATTGCCTGCTTTGTCTGCCTCCAGCGGGGCAGCTTTCTCCTGATCCTTCAGCTGCTGATCGCCATTCGCACCTTGACTCTTGACTGCAGCTCCCACGCGTTTGTCCAGCCGTCGACTCACACTTAGCGCAAGCTTCTCGTCGATCACTTGGATGCACGCGTCGCACACGCGGCAGTCTTCTTCTGCTAGTTGTTTCGGACTGATCTCCTGCTCCCAAGCACCGGTATAGAAACCACGACAGCGTCAGTGAGACCCCCTCCCCCTTTGTCCAGCTGTAATGACCCTCGCGCCGCTTTAATGACTTGAGCCTGAGCTTGAGCGTCCACGTACCTTGTATATGAACTTGGTGCGGCTACTCGAACATCCGTCACAGACGACAGCCCCACAGCGACGGCAGTGGTGACGACGTATCCAGAAGCCAAACTCGGTGCGGCAGAGCATGCACGTGTCCACAGAGATGTCGGGGACCCACTGTCCATGCCTCTGTGCAAGAAACGAGAGAGATCGTTAGTAGAACGATGAGCGCAAGAGGTGGACACAGATCTGCATGTGACACGCACCATGTGCTTCCGCCACGAGCTCTCGAGCGGGTCCCTCGAGCGCGTCTTGAGCAGCGGCGGCGTCACAATCTCTTTCAGCATGGGGCGAGTCAGTTAATAAATGAATGAATGCAAACGGCGGTATGAGCAGGTCAGTAATGATTGGAGCGATTGGGAGCCTGGGGTTGGAAGTGTGAAGTAAGTCCCTGTGTTAAGCTTTGTTAGAAAGAGCGGGTACTGTCAGGCGGACGCTGGCTGGTCCAGGCATCAGTTGCGTCCGGTAGTTCCTACAATTTCCGCTTCTTGGGCACAATCTCGATCTTTTCGAGCTGCTTGTCGGTATGGAATTGACGGTCACCAGCGTCGCCGAGACCGGGCAGGATGTAGCCATCCTGTCATACAACACAACAACACGTGGTTAGAAACGATGCATGGGAGGTGTCAAAGCCGTATCTTCGTGAGCAACAGCGCTCGTGAGCAAGACGATACCTCACTGAGCCCATCGTCGATTGCAGCCAGGAAAATCTCTACGTCCGGATTCTTCTCGCACACTTCTTGCAGACCCTGCTTGGATGCGATCGTGCTGACGATCTTGATCTTCTCGACGCCCCACGTCTTCAAGACAGCCAGCGTCGCGAGGATCGTACCAGCTGCAGAAACAAACACGGTACATTGTCATGAGCTGGCCGAGAAACGATCCGTCCACTGTCCACAGCTGCTGTTGATGCTGCTGTCTTCTATCTTACCAGTAGCAATGACCGGCTCCAAGATGATTGCAACGTCAACATTGCACTCCTTTGGAAGCTTGTTGTAGTACTGCACCGGCAAAAGCGATTGCTTATTGCGGTACATTCCTAGTGACCATCAACCGAGCATTAGTTTGAACATAAAGCACCGTCGCAGCAATGATGCAACATCTCACCAATGTGATGCACCGTCGCATCCGGCAGCACGTCCAGCATTGGCTCCACCTACGTCATCAAATGTGAGGAGCTGACCTTTTACGAAACGAGCAAGAGCACGGGACAGCCACAGCGTTGCCAACATCACTGTACCATTCCCAGTCCAGCTCGAAGAATCGGCACGAGGGCCACTGAAGTCGATAGCTCATCTCCTTGGTGGTCACCTTTAGGTGTCTAAATAACGTCAACAACCACAACGTAGTGCAGTCGAGCTTCTATTAGTAAAGACTAATCGTCGCTCAAGATCTTCCGAACGGACCTTGATCTTCTTAGGGATCGTCTCAAGGTCGTCCGTCGCGTCGTATCTACAACCACCCCAAAAGACATGCGGTCAATTACTTCGTTTCTCGTACACACACTTGACGTTTGTATGCAGTAGCCAACATATCACCCGTACCCGAGATAGAACGTGACTTCTCGCAGTAAGTGGCGAAAGATGCGACTGTCCGTGCCCTCGTCGCGCAGCTTGGTGAGCTTGTGACGCAGCACGGGATGCGTGGCGCACCAGACCTTACTCCCCGGCGCAAGGCCGTACTTTTCATTGTCAACGCGCGTATTTGTCTTCATCTGCTTCCGATTCTGGTCGTTTGACGCCTTTTGCGCTCTTGAGAGCAAATTCGATACTGACTGGAATCTGCCTCGACGCTAAGTTAGCTGCTCAGCATCGATGGGGTAGATGTAGCAGGTGCACTTGCTTTCGACCAATCAGGAGGCGGCAGGACGGCCAACTTCAATACAACATGGTCTAGTCAAGTGGGCGATGCTAACTCAAAAGGTAGTTAGTTGTATTATACATGTACACTCCGCCGTAAATGGCTCAATCCGTCCTGCATCGCGATACACTTCACGCCTGCAAAGCCGGTATCGCTTCTCTACCACTCCGTCTCGTGAAAGTCCTTGAGGAACTTGCCAAAAATGCTCTCATCAGAGTTGTAGCCAACAAAAATCGGGTCCAACACACGCGCTGCAGCATCAATCTCGTCAATGGGAGTCTGGAAGTCGTGCGCTTCCGCGTGCGCATGTGCTTTGGCTAGTGGATTCTCGTCGTTAATCCAGCTGATGACGTTGACAAATAAAGAACGCAGAGACAAAAACACGAGTCAGTATACACATCACACTTGACTCGACGACTGAATATACGACTTACCCCGTGTCGACCGAGTTCATGTAGATGCGCCGCTTGCTCAGGTCTTCGGCGCACGTACGAGTCATCATATTGAGCGCAGCTTTCGCCATGTTTGTGTGCGGGTGGTTTGGCGTCTTATATCGGTAAAACTTGCCCTCCATCGCGCTCACGTTGACGATAAACTTCTTCTCGCACTTGCCACTCTTTTCCAACAGAGGTACCAGGCGATTGTTCATCATAAACGGTGCCAGTGTATTGATGGCAAACACTTCTGCGACCTCCGGAGTTGCAATCTCGCCCATACGGAGTAGCCAAGAGTTGCGCGAGCGGAGGTCCACCTGCTGTCCATTCACGTCCACCACGCCCACGGGAAAAGCCTCAGCGTTATCGTCAGGATGGTCTTCACCAGCGATCAGAGGCACCTGTGACTTCATTGCAGACGACATCACAACGCTTCCACCTGCATTCACTGTCTGCGCATCTGACGCAGGAAGCGCCAAGGACTTGAGGTGCACCTCAAACTCCTCCTGATGGTGCATAAGCGTCTGAAGCTCCTTCGAACTCGTCTCCAACGCTTTCGTCTCTTTGTCCGCCAGGAATTTGTAGTACGTTGGCGGTCGACGCACAGTCTGGCACGCGTTGTGCACAATCATGTCAAGACGAGAGTACCGACTCATGACAAAGTCGCAAAACTGCTCCAAGTGGACTAGATCACGGAAGTCAATGCCGAAAATCTGAAGCCGATCTTTGAATGTCTCAAACTCCGGGTGTTTCGCAAAGCGTTCAGCAGCGTCTTTCGGAAAGCGCGTGGTAGCGATGACTGCAGCTCCTGCTAACAACAGCTTCACAGCCGTCTGGAAGCCAATCTTCACACGAGCACCCGTGATCAGTGCCACTTTTCCACGTAGATCAGCTGACTGGAAGCGTTTCGAAAAGTTCAGCTCCGCACAACGTGGACACAGCTGGTCGTAAAAGTGGTGGATTTTGTCAAATCGGCTCTTACATGTGTAGCACGAGCGAAATCCAAGCAATGCACTCGCCTCCTTCTTGTACGCTGCCGCCTTCTCATCACGAGCTTGTTCCGCCTCATCAGTGCAAAGCTTCTGCAGCTTCGGCTCCGGGCCATTGGTCAAATACTCTGTCGAGTGGCAAATGTCTTCTCCAGCCACGCCATCAGCAATCATAGGCAGCGCTGCAGCTGCATCGTCGCCTTGAAGCAGCAATGACTCGAGCTTTGCGATCCGTTCACGACGCAAAGTGGAGCTGTTAATGTGGCGGCGGTCGTGCATCTTGCGTTGATTATACCGCGCACGTTTCTCCTCCCGAATAGCCTTATCCTCAAGGTACTTCTTGCGTCCCACGCCTCCAAACTTGCGGTCTTCCATGTACTCAGAAACAGGTGCCAGTTTCTTCCGCAATAGACGGAAGTTGCTCTGTTCCAGCAACTCCTTACGCTTAGCCAGCACGTCCAGTACCTTCAACACACTGGACAGCTCCTCTTCCGTGAACGGCATTTCTTCCGCCGGCACCTGCGGCTCACACGGCGCGGTCTCCATGGCCACGTCCGCTTGTCCGCTTGCCATGTCTTTCGCCTGCATTGACGATATATCGGATATGACTGGCGCTCAGGAGCTACAAAACCTGAAGTACTGAACCGATTTCCGAGTCGATGATTGGCCCGTCGTCACACAATGCTGGACATCGGGTATACACGTGTATACACGCACCTTGTGTTTTTGATTCTTATCGTCATCGCAAGAGACGGGATGTCATTAAGTGCGTTCGTGGCTGGCGTGGCGCTGGGTGGACTGCGCTACGGCGCCGTGAAGTTTCAGTTGCTGGAGCGGGAGAGTGTCGTGCTGTACTCGACGAGCCAGGTGAAAGCGAGCTTCCGCGGTGACAGCCACGTACGTACTGATTATGTGTATACATCTGTGAATGAAATGTACTGATATAACATCTGTATGTTGATTGTGTCCTGTTTGCAGCTCCAGACGCAAAACAAGCAACGGTACGAGGCACTACCGAGTCGTGAGCATGTATACTATACGTACGTGCGTGAAGGCTGGAACTCCAAGGTGCTGGCGCTTCGTAACAAGATGTACGAGTGGTGTACGACCAAGTAAGAGAGAGCTAGCAAGGGGATGGGATGGGATTCATCCGTCCATGCTCCGGCTTTGCAAAGTAAGGGGATAGCGATGAAGCAAATGGAATGCATGCCGAGGTTTGCTGGACGTGTGGTGTTGTGATTATTACGTCTGAAAAAGAGGAGGGAGGCACTTGACATGCGGTGTCATGTACCTTGAGAACGCGAAGCTGCTTTCTAGACAATCGGGACTCGGTGGCGCTCCATGACCAGTGTGTTCTCCATCATTTGAGCCTGTGTATCTTGAGCCTGCTGTACGAGCTGTCGCAATTTGTTCCGGAAGTAATCTACACGAGCTTTTCCAACGCTGGAGGTGCCGCTGTTCGTGAACTCTGGAGCGCCCTTTGTATTGGTAGTTGCAACGACGTGTTCATCGCGTTGGTAGTCTTCATCGATGCCGTCATCATCGGCACTATCTCTATCAATGCTTTCGATGTCTTGCTGCTGTGGATCCGACTGCTGGATGTCCACACTAGGACGAAGCACTGATTCTGACCGGCGTAGCGGAATCAAGGATGCCTGTGAGAAGGTTTGCAACTGGATCTCCTTCTGTCGTTTCTCAGCGGCCATCATAGCCTCTTCAGCGCACATCTGAAGTGCTTGCAGCGTTTTCTTCATTGGTAGATCGTCATCTTCCCCAGGACTCGTTTCAGAATCAAAGACAGCAAGAGCACCGTAGCGGCAATGCATCTCGGTGTTCATGAGCGGTACCCCAGCGTAGAATCTCGCTTGTTGTGACCCTACAACAATCGGCAGCTGCCTAAAATCGTATCCCGACGGGTGATCCGCCGACTCGTCAAGCGCCCAGGTATCCCGTGTGACAATAGGCCTTTGCAACTGAAGCACGGGGTCGCAGCATCGTAAGTTTGCCGTGATCGTCATGAGCTTGGCACAGCCTCTTACTTTCAGGTACGACACGGTTGCCTCTGCTGCTTCGACTTCATTTTGCGGGCTTTCATCTTGTTGAGTCGTATGCATGAACAGCGTCAATGCAACGAATTGGGAATTTCGCACTGATGCTGCAGTCTCACAAAGCTTTAGAAAGACGTCCTCGTACATTCGCGGCATCTCAAAGCTTCGATGAGTCCACGGTCGATTGTGCAGCCGGATCAGTGTGCAAATATCGGTCATGGTGAAAAGTGGCTCGTGGTTCCCATCGCTGTTATCCGTGCAAATGCCGTTCTTCACCGGCCAAATCTGCTGTGCTCGAGTTGATAGCGAACTGTGCTGGGACTTGAGAATACTCAAGTCGGACTCATTGTCATCGGTACGTGAAGTCGAGTCCTCGACTTTCACTTCACCTTCCTTGTCATTGATTCCAGATCCAGTGACATCGGTCTTCACACTGTTCCTTGTTGTAGCTCGTACCCGACACCGTTTGTGCGGTAGTGACGATGATGGTTGGTTTGGAGAAGCAGGGAAAGTTTCGGAAGATGAGAGATGCCTTCCAACTTTTGACTTCGAAGGTTGTGCTGTATCCAACGTATCGGGCGCGGTCGTAACAGGCGGTGATTTCATGGTTGGTAGCATTTTGCAACCTCGTCTCGTCCATGCAAAGTGCCGTCTATCGGAAGCAGGAGATAACTCGGATTGCAGACAACTAGTTGCTCTCATTTCCGACGTATCGATCCGTTGTGCGCCCTCTGAAGTTACAACGAAAAACATTCGTTCGGCCTCGTCACACGATTCGGTCGCACTCTCATCCATGACGCTTCCAGTCAGTTCTTCGCTGAGACTCCTGCTACTCCGACGAAGAGGAGGTTCCGAGAATGAAAATGTTGCAATGGAGTCCAGCACAGAGTTCCCACTAGCATGGTCGATAACCCCGCGACAACTTTGCAACTTTTGAGATGCCACCTGCACTTCCGCATCGTTGCGTGACGATGACTTTGGTCGAGATGGTGCGGAAGCCTGGTTGCAACTTGTGCAAATACGCAGCATGGCTGGGCCAGACGTGGGTAAATGCAGGTCCTTTTTCACCGAGCACCTTCGACAAATGACCTCTCCACACAGCCGGCAGTGATGTCGTCGTCGGGTAAGTTGATGAAATCTGCGGCAGCACACTGCACACTGAAGTCGCTCTGCGTTGCGCACCCATTGCAACGTATGCAACGACTCGAGATGCAGGATCATGCTGTAAGAATCAACAGCGTTGTTCAGTCGACCGATGTGCAAGGCCATTTGTCGCGCAACATTCTGGAGGGCGTGGAACTGCCGGTCACTGCACTGCGTTAGCCCAGCATTGCTGGACACCGAGTTCCTACCGCGCTTGTTGCAATTGCTAGCTGCATCCCGAGCAATGGTCATGTAGAACACGACGTCCGTCTTGTCGCTGCTGGCGGTGGGATACAAGAGGAACCCGCCAAGAGGAACCTTGCAGCGTACCACACGATGTGAGTCGAGCAAGTCTGGACAGTGCCGAGTCTCTACCGAGCGGAAGAGCTTGTACGCCGCTGGCATTGCTTCAAGTGCGTGCAGACCATCGTGGCCACAGCTGCGGTCTGTTCCGTCATGTTTTGGCTCAGCATCGTCGCTTTGGGGCTGCTGATCCTTGCAGTGATTGCTGAACATGGTCAACTCGTCGCGCGAATGCCACTTCGTGTACTCCTGTAAACAAAAGTCGCAGTCGTAAACCGTGGGGTTGCTGCATCGACACATGATCCAGCGGACTGCGAGGGTCTCCGCGCTGTCGTTTTCGTCCTCGGCCAGGAAGTCTGTACGAGGAGTCGAGCTATGGAAGAGCACGGACGTGTCAGCAACGAGATTGCCGTAAATGATCCGAGTGAATGACCGATGTGCTGTTGCCACGGACGCATCCAGAGCCCTGAGCACCGCGTTCAATGGGGCGTGAACTGTCGTACTGCTACGAACACTGTAGCTCGCCGATCCACTTTCCCTCTTCAGTGTCAATGCAGCCAACCTGCTCGGGACCGATGACCCTCGTGCCTTACCCTGAAGCTCTTGTGTGGTTTTCCCAGCGTATTTTTCCCAGCAGATCACCTCTGCTGAGTGCTTTTTGGTTTTGTTGACCCGCATCCAAGCCGACTCGAGCTGTGATTCGGACTTGGAGGCTGCACACTCGGTCATCAGCTGCGTCAAGTGAGTCCGTGCTAACTGCATCCCAATAGCTTCATCTTCTCTCGACAAGGTGAACGGAAGCGCATATTGACTCGGACCTGCTCCATCTTCAGGAACAGGTGCACGTTTGTGATTCGGTGCCTTATTGCAGTGGTCGTTGACTCCCTGTACCTCGTCCCTCATTGCAAGTACATCCAATATCGTGCAATGAGAGACTTGTGGTTGCAACCCATCCATAACCAGAGCTGCGTGTCCGTTGCCAAAATCGACGACGGTTTCGGGATGTCGTCGGGCAGACACCGTCGCACAGCGAAGCTCGAAACAGACGCCAATGTCGATACCTTTCGACCGGCGAAGACGTACGATGCGTCCAGTGACCTGCGACCTTTTCGATGGTTTTTCAGGTCTTTTTATATGCGACAGACATCTTGAACGTCGATTCCTTCAACTTGACTGCATGCAGTTCAGACACCAAGGCACGGACGGATCAGATGGCAGGCACCACGCGAGTTGAAGCAAAACCTTCTATTGCGCGTGAACGTCACACGTTAGAACACATCCGTCTAAGTCGCTATCTAAAATGTCCTCTCCCTGCATTTTCATCGCTGTGCTGTTGCTGCTGCTTGTTTCTCAGTTGACGTCAGGTGTCAGGCTGTTTGCCTCGCTGTTTTACTCGAGCTGTGCCATGAACTTCCCACTCTTGGCTTGTTGCTAGGTCTGCCATCGACCATCGCAGTCCAAACCCGCGGCGGACTACCCAAGCTGGGCGAGTAAAATAATTGTGCCAAAACGTGAAAAGCCCCCTCACTACTGACGCTGCTGCGTTAGAGCAGTTACCTCGTGTCAGACTCACATCCTGGTTTCTTCCCTGACGGAATGACCTGTTGCAGCCAGATGCGCGTCTTGTAGATAGCAAAGAGGTCGCGAACGAGCTCCCTGAAGTCAATTCGCCTGTACCGACCCCAGAACAAACATCAGCATTAGACAGACTACCCATGAGCAAGCTATCACTGCAGTACTATCGCGTACCGGTCGGCTTCGAAGAAAAAGGTCAGCTTGTGGCGGTCAAACTGGTACTCCGCGTCAATTACATTCATGGGAAGCAGGCGCTGACGCACTTTGCTCCTGCATACTTCAAACACCTCGTACTCTTCCTTACGCTGCAGCAAACAACATCAGCCATGTCTCTCACCTTGCGTTTAGCTCGTACATCCCAAATGTGATAGACCCACCTGTTCGTTCAGCACCTCTAATTCACGCTGGCTTGCCACACACATGATCTTCTTCGTTGACAGATCATGACGCTTGTTACGCCCCGTACACTCCTCCCCTGAGCTCCCGGGCTCATTCACGGGAAACCCCTTCGACACATCGGTTACGCGGCGCACGATACGCCCAATATCTTCTCCGCGATCAGCTTCCACCTGTGTGCACAACCAAAAATTCTCGTGAGCACCCGGAACATCGTCGCTGAGGCTACGGATACTGGATAATACCTTAACGTAGTCACCAGGCTTGTACGCTGCACGACCAGCAAATACTTCCTGTCGTCCCCGTTTGAATTCCACATCGTAGTACGCTTCAGGGGGTGGCGATGGAAAGTGGCTAGCACCGTTGCTGCCTAAGGGTCGCACATCTGGAGGTAGCGGGGGCGCCGTATCCATATTTCCTCGTGACCAATCAAAGACAACACCAGCCGAGTTGCTACGACTCAAGGATGGAGAATATTCCATCGGAGGTGCCGAAGCAAAGAGTTGCACACCCTCCATCGACTGGCTACGAACTTGGCGCGCAGATGGATAGCTTCCGTACTCCATGCTGTATGAGCGCATTACACGACCCGCGTTTCCCTGGCGCGAGTGGTGGTTTTCCTGTTGATCGCCAGGGTACGAATCTGGGTATGTCGGCATTGCAAACGCATCGGAGTAACGGCGATATGGCATTGGTGGCCCGTACTGAATGAGCAGTGTTCAAATTCACGATTATGGACAACGTTAGTAAACGAGAAGAAGCTCAACCAGCAACGATGAAGCAAACCTGATACTGGCGCATGGAAGAGTCCGTTCGAATGTTCCCGCGCGGAGGACGAACACCAGCGGGCGGGGGTTGTAGCTGCGGTTGTCCGGGTTGCATCATGCCACTCCCAGAGTGGAAACTGCGAAGCGTATGCGGCAAATCTGGTCCCATCATCGACTGCGGGTGCTGCTGGTGAAGAGGCATGGAAGTGAACTGGTGCTTACTAAAGGGGTCGTGCATCGAAGCTCCATACGTCGCGGAGTATGAAAACGACCGCGCACGTAGCCGTTGATACGGCTCCTGCGGCGGGGGTAGTGGCGGACTTACTTCGTCACGGCGACCCAGTGTAAAGTCGACCGACGAGGCGCGTGAGTCCTTGGCCAGTCTATACAAATAATCGGAATAACAACAACGCAACGTTAGATTCACAACAAAATCGTTACAACAGCAGCCTTGGACTCACCTGGGATGTCCCCGGTACTTCGCATCGTACTGGTCACCCGCCTCACTGTACAGCAACGATAACGACAAACCAAGTCAAATGCAACCACAAACCCATCCAACTCGCGCAACGTCCCCTTACGTCGATAGCAGCGAGCCAACGCTCTTTTCGCAGAACAAATCAACTTGCTCTCCGTCCCGGTTGCTTAGCGACGCTTCAAATCGTGGCGACGTCATAAGAAACTCTTCATCTTGCAATTGCCACGTCTGTGAATCTTTCCTGCTCCCAAGCACGGGCGATTTCACGTGAAGCAGCGAGCTTGCAAGAGCTCCGTTTCCACTGTCCACACTGATGCTTCGTGGTGGATGTGGTAGCTGCGAGAGCACAGGAAGACACGACTCTGCATACGAAGGATCAACTGGCGGTGGTGGAGCTGGCACCGAACCCGATAGCAGATGCGTCGTGGACGACGCAAGCCCTTCCTGCTGCTGCTGTTGATCGTCGTCCGACGACGACGAGTCGTAGAGAGACGAGCCCGACGACGACAGACACGAGCTCACGACACCCCGAAAACTGGCCACGTGCTTCAGCTCCCTGGCAGTCACATTGCCCGTATTCTCGTCCAAAGAGGAGCTATCTTCAAGATGTCCAAAGGCCGTCGGCAGTTGAGCATCCAGAACTTGATCCGGTGGTCCCGTCTGCGTCTCCGAAGAGCTCGACGACGACGATGAGCGGGTGCGCGTGGGAGGCGGCGATGCCACCCGGCGACCCAATGGACGCCAGGCGTCCACTGACAGCGGCAGCGGAGGTGACAGCACCTCGTTCATCGACATCCCGCGAGGTTTCGCCGCACGACGGGAGATCCTCGTGTCCCTCAATGGGTGCTGGACAGGACACGGGCGCTTGGGTGGCGGGATCCCGAGCGACGGCGGTGGCAGTGAAGCGTCCGGATCAGCTGTGGACAGCGCCATCATGCTTGTCGACAGGAACTCGGACCATTCTTCCTGGGAAGCCGCAGTACTGCTGTCGACCACGTCCAGCGACGAGTGACGCGTGCGGTGCATGACCCTCCCCCTTCTCTGTCTCTGTCTCCCTCTTTTCCTTCTTCTTTCGTCTCTTGTTTCCTACGTACGTGGTTGCAGCCGCGACGACGGAGCGACCCCAATCGATCGAAGCTCGAGCTGGAGCAGGAGCGGGGCGCTTGAAGTGCAGCGGGGTCTTCTTGCTATTGGTCAAAGAGACTTCACGCGGTCAGGCACTTGGTAGGGCCGTGGGTGCGCTCTCGCTTTGAAGTTGCGAGAATGAGCAGCTCGGTCCCTGATTCGAGGAGATTTGTTTGTTTGCTTGGTGTGTTTGTTGTGCGATTGGGTGTTGGCCCTTTTTTCTTCTTTTGACGTTTGCACCCCGTTGCTTCATACAAACATCAAGTGGTCGAGACATCGCAGGAGGAAAATATGGAAGCTCTAATGAAAGGCGAAAATCAATAGTGCGGCAAGAACGAGCCTGGAAAAAGACCCGCAACGCACCCCGCACCCCAGGGTGGTGGCGGTCGGTCAGGCAGTTGCTTAGTTAGTTCGCGCATCTTTCACGATAAGTACGGTACAGTACTTAAGGATCGACCGTCTTTTGCTCGTGAAACACGCGACAGAGCAGAGCCAGACGATCGTTCGATAGAGATAAAGATCGAGATCGAGATCGAAATAGAGCGATGTGATGTCCGCTTAAGGGAACTTGCTACGCCACGGCCTTATAAATAAGGCTCACCGACATTACCCGTAACCTATTTAGGCTACTCGTGTTTTGAGCCCTCTATTTGGAATACTTATGCCGTATCCAAGTATCTGGTTACGTCAGCCGTTCGGTCCACCATGTACATCGTGCCTCTTCGGGAGCCCATCGCGTGGCGTCCGTCCCACCTCTGGACTGGCCGAGAACCGACTCGACCGACAACGTCATCCGGAACAAACGGCGTCGTTGCATCGCGTCCCATCCCGTTGATCCACTCGGTTTGTGTGCGTGGCAAGCAAGACCTAAGGCCTCGCTCTCGACCGTCTCCCACACAAGACTCAAGACGGAAGACCGACACACGCGACGCCATGTCCGCCGCCGTTTCGTCGGCTCTGGCTCAGCCACCGTCTAGTGTCTGCAGACTTAAGCGGGAGACATTCGCCCGCGTCCGAAGGCGGTCGCACGCCGTCGCTCAAACTCCGACAGACAGCGCCTCTCGACCGCTTGATGGACACTCAAGGAAGCGACGTGAGGCTGGTAGCAGTCGGAGAAGAGCTGGTGTCGCTTGTGTGGACACAATGCAGTGCGCGCACTTGGCTGTAGGCAAGTGGATGCGGCAGCTCAGTGTCGAGCTCTTTTTCGTGATGATCGTGCTGTTCTATGGAGGGGTCACGGTTGTGCAGCTCACAGTGGCGGACGACACGTTGGCATTGCATCGACTTGCAACTGACGTCACGGATGTTACGGTGGGGTCGATTTTGCTGCTGGAAATTGTACTACGAGTGTTTGCAGACGGATGGCAGTGCGTAAGAGATGTGTGGGTACTGGTGGATGCACTGGTGGTTGTTCTCAGCTTCGTGCTGGGCGTCGTTGCTATTGTAGGAACGACGTCGACGGTTGCGGTCCAGATGTTGACATTGAGGGGGATTGTACGAGTGTTGAGAGTATTGGTGGTGAGTGAGCGAGTCAAGCAGCGAACACGGTTGATGAGCCTTGCGCACTTGAACAAGGGAGCAACCACGTCTCCGATAGAGCACGTATTGATGGTCTTGAACGAGTTGCGGTTCCATCCTGCGATCCGGCCGTCGCTCCGAGCGGGACTGGACTTTGCCATTGACGCTATTAAAAACAACAGGTTGTACGACGCAACTGAGGTATTGCTTGATGTGGAAGGAATCGACAACGACACACAAAATTGGTTACGCGGTGAAACACTGCAAGGACATGACTTGGATGTAGTACTGCCTGAAGACAACGAGCTGGGCAGTCCGACCCGCAAACGTCCACGTTCATTGACAGGTAGCTCGTGCTCTGACGTAGATTTAGCGGCCGATGACTACGAAGTTAGCTCGGGCAGTAGCACAACTGCGGGGTTAAAGCCTGCGTCACCCGTCAAACGTCGTCAAAAAGGCTCGCTTTTGCGTGCGAATCGAGGCACGACGATGCGCGACTTTCTCCCATCGTTAGACTCTGCTTCTGAATTTGAATTGCACAACTTGCTTCAAGGCGTGAGCGCGTGGGACTTTGATGTTTTTCGGGTCCACGTTGTTTCCGGCGGGAACGCGCTTTGCTGCATTGGACATCACCTTCTCCTCAGCACTCCTTGTGAAGCACTGAATATTGATAGCGACGTTCTTGTGAATTTTCTGTTGGAGATTCAACGCGGGTACATGTCCACGAACCCGTATCACAATGCCATTCACGCAGCTGATGTCATGCAGACTGTACATTTCTTCCTTATCCAGCCCGAGCTGGCACCGATTTTACGTCCACTGGATCGTGCACTGTCACTTATTGCTGCAGGTGTGCATGACTTCATGCACGATGGCTTTAACAATAGTTTCCACATATCAACGGCATCGGAAATCGCGCTACGCTACAACGACAACGCAGTATTGGAAAACTACCATGTCGCCCAATCCTTCTTGGTGATGAAAAAGTCAGAGCTCAACGTGTTCGGCCAACTAGCGCCGGATGACTTCAAGTACGCGCGTGACATGGTGATTCAAATGGTGCTGGCAACCGATATGGCTAAACATTTCGAGGACACGGAGCTGTTTAAGAACAACATCTTGTCAGCAGCTCTTGATGAAAATGCTGTACTGGTCAAGACCGTGGGCGACAAGAAGTTGCTGCTCAAGATGATTCTCCACACTTGTGACGTATCGAATCCAGCAAAGGAGCGGAAAATCATGCTGCGCTGGACTGCGCGCGTAGTGGAAGAGTTTTTCATTCAGGGAGACATGGAAAAGCAGCTGGGACTCCCGGTGTCACCGTTTATGGATCGAGACACTATCGTGCTCAGAAACATGCAGGTTGGCTTTGCCGATTTCATCGTGTCTCCGCTCTTTAGTGTCTGGGCTCAGATCTTGGTCAACGTGAACGCCGGTCCATACCGCATTCTGCTCTCGAACCGCGAGTTCTGGGCGTCGCTACCCGACGACTTCAAACCACATATGATCAAGGACGTGATCCGAGACCGGCGGCCTCGCGTCACGATGACACAACGAATGGCTTTGAGGGATCAACTTTCGCCACGTTCGCGTCGCAGTGTCCCGAAATTATTACTTGCAACGGCTGACGGCTGATCGGTCAAGCTGGCAATCACTCTGATCGCGAAGATTACCCGACAAAGGGATGCTGAAGGTACAGGACGAAAGTATATCAGCGGTGCTGTATCGTTGGCACCCGAGTTGTCATAGCGACACGAAGCAGCAAGTTCTGCACAAGACCAATGGATATGAATCCGTAAGGACGTATGGACGCGAGACGCTTTCGATTGGGTGCTAGTTTCGAGCGCCTGTGATCGAATCTGTCGTGACCCAGCAGCAGTTGCAGTCAGAGAAGAGCGATGAAAAAGGACATGTTGATGCAGCCATGTAAGGATCGCTCTCAGAACTCGTGGGACAGTAAGATGAAGCACAGGCGTTCGTCGCTATTTCCGTGCACATTTCCTGGTAGCTGTTAGCACTCAACTTGGCGTCTCCAGCAGGTCCTCTTCAACCACGACCTTTTGCACAAGTTATCACCACAAAAGAAGACACTAGAGGCGTAGTCAAAGTATGAGCATATGGACGTCACATGAGATCGAGCGCCTGTAGGCTGCAAGTTGTTAATGCTGCTCTCCGCCTTGTGCCTGGACACTTGCCTCGTGAATGTTATGAGCTTTTGTTGTCTCCATCACTTTGGCAGTCAGGTGCATTACAGCCCGCTACATCATTCAGACTATTATTTAGGGTCAAACATAGAATACGTTGTTGGTAACCAGCTCACGATTAATATCTCGTTAGCGATTGGCTTTTATTGACTGCACATTAAGTCGTAATCTACTCACCAACAACGTCTGCACGGTGGATTGGTAGGTAGAAACTGATTTGGAGTAAACGCTTTTTGTATAAAGAGCCAATGGCATGCGATGGATCGCTACAATAAATTACGCTGTGAATCCGGTGGCTCCTGAGTCCTTTGGTGACGCCTCCGCCTCGAGTTGCGCGTCTTCATTTCAGCATTCGTCCAGCCAAGACCATTAGCCAGTACGACGTTGGCCAAGATGCGCCTGCGTCCCCTTGTCCTCCTGCCTTCAGCTGCCTTTGCTGACACTGGTTCCATGATCAACATACCGGCTCACGTTCGTGTCGCTGACAACCATCGCGACGGTGGCCCCATCAACCAATCGTTGAGGACGCACGAGCCAATGGACGATGAGAAGAGGATGAATGCCGAGTTAGTCACGACGGCGCTCGATTTACTGCCAGAGATTGCACAACGGCTGGAGTCGGCGGTAGGAAAGGAAGTCTCATTGGAAACTGAGAGAGTGCACGATGTCCTAGCGATCCCCAGGGAGACCACTGACGAGGTGGGCGGTCTCGTAGTACACTCCGACATGGTTGCCAAGAAAGGTGTTCACGACATTGCGAAGCATGTTTCTGTGCAGCGTGAGCTTGACGCAATGATGTCGTCTGATCTTCCGGATGACATAAAAATCCAAATCGCTGTTGAAGCTAGGAACACTGCCGAGTCTCTTAATAATGTGGAGGCAAGTAAGGCTGCAGACCACACACTCGCCATAATAACTGATCAGTTGAAAGCGGCCAGCAAGAATCTGGATGATGTTCTTCTGCTGCTACCCGGCGTTCAGCCTGTCGATTTCTTCAAACCCGCGATCACAAAACTTCTGAAGTCGGTGCCCAAGGGACCCGAACCGTTAGAAGCCAAAAGTCAGCACGTTGACGATGTAACGGAACCATTGAGAGCCAACCTTGACGATGTGGTGGAACCATTGGGAGCCAACCTTGACGATGTGGTGGAACCGTTGGGAGCCAACCTTGACGATGGAACGGAACCATTGGGAGTCAACCTTGACGATGGAACGGAACCATTGGGAGCCAACCTTGACGATGTGGTGGAACCATTGGGAGCCAACCTTGACGATGTGGTGGAACCATTGGGAGCCAACCTTGACGATGTGGTGGAACCATTGGGAGCCAACCTTGACGATGTGGTGGAACCATTGGGAACCAACCTTGACGATGTGGTGGAACCATTGGAAGTCAACCTAGCGAAACTATCAGTTGCTGAGCTTGACAATGTAACGTTAGCTCTCCTCAAACGTTGCGGAAGGAATGGGGATGAGTTTCTTCATACTGTCGTTGATGCGATGGAAAGTGATCTGGTCATTGATGTATCGGCTGTTGAAGAAACTTGGACATGGGCGCTCAAATTGTTCCCCGAGATGTCAGAAAATCTCAAAAAGGAAATGGAAACCGCTATGGAAAGGCGACAGAAGTCTGCCGGTCGCGTCAGCGCCGAGATCGAGGAATCATAGCACTGCTGTGGAAGAGAGAGCCTCTGTCAAGGCACGGATTCCGTAGAAATTTGGCCGCCTCATAACTCTGATCAAGAAGAAGCGGGACCGTATCGTAGCCATAATGGCGGAGCAATCGACCGCGGCTCTTAACAATTGTGTCTCACGACAATGCGAAGCGTGTAAGCTTGTGGCATGATGTAGGTGAAACTTACGTGGAGTTTATTAAAGCATTGTAGCTCATTCGATGTAGTGTTTCGTTGTGTTTATTTTAGGGTCATGACCTTGATTAGCATAGCAGGAGTAGCATTGCGTAGGACGAGTTCGAAGTTTAGGAAAGAAACAAAATATCATGATGCATGCGACTGTGTCTTTGGTTACTGCCTCAGTGTATTCTGTATGGTGCCTTTGCTTCGACCTGTCACCGCTTGCACAGCACGACTTGCTCTCGCAACCGCATCGACCGCGAAAAAACATAATTTGCTCAATCGCGCCATTATTTGCAGCGAATGTGACATTCGTGAGTGAAAAATCGTCTTGTGTGGGCAAAGAATTGCATTTTGGCTTTCGTTATTGTAGCTACACTGATGACAGTGTAATCCGACATTATTATTATCAACCGACGGATTATTGCTGACATGTAAAATGTAATTCAATTTACTTCAACAGCTCCTCCCTCTACTAACTTTTAGCTTCATTTCCTATACGTTAACAGAGGTATTAGTTTTTGGGCGATGGTGGCGTCGTACACAAGGAATTTCACCAATAAAATTAGGAGGTGTTAAGGCATCCCCCCTCGCAATAACTACCCACCCGTCTACACTAACGATGCCCTGGTCGGTCAATAAAGAATTGCAACGTACGTTTTTGTAACGGGGCACCCTTTGCTTACGTTCCACAATTTTTCACGTACACTCGCACGTGCAGAGGCAGGAAAATCACTTAGACCACTGGTTTGAGAAAAGTAAAAAGAGAACTGTATTTAATATAGTTAAGCCATCAATATAACATCAGTATTTATCTGAATATATTGATTACGTTGTCGTGTGACGACAACCTGCTCACCACCCAATCGCGTCTAGCAAAGATTGGTAGAATGCGTATCATTATACTTCGAAAGGGTTGGTTCTACCTAAAGAGAAAGTGTAAATCCTAAAAAAGGACATCAGCAAATATAAAATTATGGGCGCGGCGCAAATCGAATTCCGAACAAAAACGTCGGAGCGAAAGTGTAACGGGGTGAATCGTTACATAACAATTTATAAGAAATTGTTAATAGAATATAACTATAAGAGTTATATTCTCATAATATTGTCATAAGGACAAATATTCTGTAGCACTTACGAGTAGTTCCTAATTGGTTGATATAGGCCATTATATCAACCAACGAAGACGCGCCACGACAGACGCACGCAATGAGTGGTGAGCAAATAGTTGATTTACACATTTGTATTTATACATAGCTAGATGAAGATAAACAGGGGATTTATTGCAGACATTAACTATGATAAATACAGTTCTACTTTTTACTTTAACCAAGTACTCGCTTCTTCTTACCGTCTTCCTCTGCACGTACGAGTGTACGTGAAGTTCCGAGGCACCGCCTTATTCTGTCATCAGAATAAGTAGCTTGTACTGTCACCAGTACAAGCTTCAGGGTGCCCCGTTACAGAAAGTCGGATGCAGCGGCTCCATAGCAGGCTGAAGTGTCTTACTTAATGAAACGACTGGGTAGTCCATGTTGAAGTACAACAGCAACTTGAATGACTTATTGACAAGAAAAACTGTAGCGGAGCTACACAGCTTTTATAAGTCAGAGGAAGACTTATTTAACAAGCCAACGGCTTACGGCTGACAGCCTAGTAGTTCTACGGAACTAATATTTCAAGTTATAGAGCCACCCAGTTCTACGGAACTCGGGTGGACTCTACGAGCTAACAGCTCAGCTACTGTAGTTCTAGAGAACCACAAGCACAATGTGCAGGGGAGTAGGAGTCTAAGGACTTTCTAAGCTACGGCAGTTCTAAGGAACTGCAGGGCACAATGTGCGTAAAGGGGGGGAGTTTAGGAATTTCTGCTCAAAAGTGAGAACTGAGTACATTTAGATTTTATATCAAGGAAAATCCTACTTTAAGTACCCTATATTCTACTGCAATAGAACTAATACAAATGTTAGTATTCGAACTGAATGGATAGTTGGAACATCACTCAGTCATCAAATGATGACGGTGCAAAGTACGTACACGGTAAGTACCGTAAACCTAGGAATATCGATCAATCGATATTCTCTACTGATATGAAATCTAAGGTCACACACATCCATCCATATCACTTTTGGGAGGTCTTTGACCAATTTAGCCAAAGGCTAGTGTGACCCCGTTACAAAACCTTAGAATGTATTAAGCCTTTTCGCAAGGGACACAGCATATTGAATAGTTTGAAAAGACAGATAAAGTCTTGAAAATCTTAAACTTATTTCGCAAAGAAAAAACTGCAATTTAAACTGCTTGAAAAGACTAGGAAATTTTCAATAGCTCTTCAATTTATTCCGCAAGACGATATTAAGGATCTTCGGCAAAGTCGCGATACCATTTATCACTGAAAGCAAGAAGCTAGGCCTTGATTCGAATAGTTTTTTTCTTCTTTCGTGGGGGCGTCATCGTCTTAAAAACGCTGAAGATGAGGGTGAACCATGGTCAGACAATGACGGAAGACGCCCATAAACTGAAGAGCAGAGGAGTCGAAATTCGCCTTGTTGCGATAAAGCCAAAAAACGTCCGCAAAATAACACTGCGGACCATGTTGAAAAGTCGAACCGGAGTTAGCGAGCCAAAACAATCTTGATGATGCACCGGAATGTCCAAGGTATGCAAAAAACTAATCTTGGGGCCAGCCCATCGTATACTGGAAAATTCTTGGAAATGGGGAAGAAATAATAGCCGCAGACGCTTGCCCATATAGCGATCCCATAGTAAATGATGGAACGTCTCCAAAGTAAAACAACCGTGAACATAACGAACGTCCGATGTGTGCAATTGGTACTTGTATCGGAAATAAAGTCTATTATGCTGGAGCCGAAAGACAAAGTCAGAATAGACTGGCAGAACATCGCTTGAGAGCAGCCGTTCGAGCGCCCAGTGGGTAGAACCAATAACCACTTGAGGAACTGAAAGCTGAAAAAGTGGAAGGGACGGCGACTCTTGGTAAAGCAACTGACGCTTAATGACCCGGTTTGACGTAGTGGCTGTGTCAACCCTGTCGAAAGTCCACGCATGAAGTGCGCCGACCATCCTGTCAGGGGGCAGCGGAAAAATCGCGAAATCTTGATAGTGTGCGGGTAAAGCAAGTCGCGGAGTCAGCTTTTGTACCACAGAAGCCATTAATCCGCCCGGCTTGATCGAAGAGGAAGCTTAAGAAACCCAAAAAGTATCTTCACCCGGAAGCGAGCCAAAAACGGAGAGAAAAGTCGAAATCCTCATAATACCTTGGTGACTGAGAAAGATGCAGGCCTTCTGATGGAGTACTGTAAGTGTCCGCTTTTCCTCTGCAAAACGAATGAGTAAATTATACCAAAATGACTATGTAGGCTTTGTCAAAACGGGGGCACACATTAAAGCTTAGGAAATGTTTTGGCGCTCCAAGTATCAAGAGCAGCCGTTTAGTAGTCGGGAATGGCGAGCCAGCGAGAGAATTGAGCCAAAGAAGAAAGAAGTAAATAGAGAACTTTTAAATCCGAATCTTGAGCGCCGAAAGCCGATTCAATCGCAGCTTGTGCAGGACAAACCACTTTGGCGGAGTGGAGTAGTCTTGACGGCTGGACAAACTACTTTGGCGGAGTGGAGTAGTCTTGACGGCTTTGACGAATTAATTGCCATATGACATTAACTTGACGGAGTCCCACCGATGTCGCGATGGAAGGTAGCTGCAGGCCGCCCGAAAACGCATCCACGGGATGCTACGCGCATTTTTGTTTACCCCTTAAAGCCGTGTCGGTCACCGTACTCTATGGGGTACGATTGATGAAGTTCGGCATCAGCGGAATAAACTTGAGCAGATCTTTCTTCGACGCGGCCGCAGTACTAAAAAATGCCATAGTGTCGAAAGAATTGTGGTTTTAAGAATAAGAAATCGACCCCGCAGGGTACGAGCATGCCATCGACAAGACACAAAGAGCTTCTGCACCCGAACAAGAAGCTGTGAAAGTTGTAGTTGTGGCGTAACAGCCGGCCCAACCGCAACGCCTAATACAAAAGTGTAGTGTGTTCTTCAGTCGTGAAATTCGAACGCCCATATCCCGAAGCCGATCTTGAAGATTGATGTCCAAAGAAGTCCATGGCCAAAAATAAAAGATGACCGTCTTGTCCACATTAAGCCGCATGCCAGTGGTGGCATAGAATTATTGGACACTTTCTAGAAATTTAAGGGCATGGGAGAGATCGTTTACCAAACCTGTAACATCAAACCAAAACTGACGAGCTGATGAAAGGTATTGCGATTTTTTATGGCAGAAAATCCTGTAGTTGCCCGCAGGTAACATAGCAATGGCTTAATGAAGAGCACAAACAGCCCGGGCGATAGTGGATCCCCTTGACGAACGCCGGCTCCCAAGCTGAAAAATTCCGAGCGCGAAAAATCAAATCAAAACTTAAACGAGCATACCCCGAATAAAGTCTTTACCCAATGGCGGAAATCGCCTCTAAATCTTCAATATTGAAGAACTTGATCCAAGGCTTGCCAATTGACACTATCAAAAGCTTTAGTAAAGTCGAGGCAAATAGAACTGGCGGAATATTGTAAATGTGTCCGTCGGCAATGATGGTCATGAAAATAATGAAGCGCGTGCCGGATGTCGCGTCCAGGCACGAAGCCAGTTTGATCCACATCCAGTAAACTGGGCAAAACTTGGTTAAGGAGAAAAGCCAATGACTTTGGGCCGAACTTGGCATCTTGAATCAGCAAAGTGAAGGGCCATTTTTTTTTGGGGTCCGATCTTGATCCCTTTTAATAGAGTAGAGCGATGT